AACGAGACTAAAAACGGCTGCGAGGAAGACTAGCTGGCTAGCAGGCTGGCTTGCTGGCTGGATTTGTCACGGGGAACAGAGCGCTTGCCACGTGGTTTACTATCGTCGAGGATAGGTTCCAGTCTTCCGCTCGGAGAAGTTACGTAAGCTTCAGAGCTTTAGAAAGCGGTTATTTTATCTAAGATCGTTTCAGTTTATCTAGTTGTTCATTCATCTTTGTGGCCTAGATTTCACACGCCGGCTTTCCTACAGTCATGAATAAAGGCTGATAGTTTCGAAGGAAACTGTTTGGGGCTGCGTCGGTGGGAGTAACGAAATAACTTGGATATATCAACAAAGTTGAAGTGGTAAATTGGCCACTGTAACAATCGTTACGGTGGCTATTTTACCACTTCAACTTTGTTGATATATCCAAGTTATTTCCTACAGTTAGCTTGTCTTCTAAGTGTGGATTACAGCGAGGAGTCTTATTTACCAACATTGACGCAAATTGTTGGACAACACAAAATGTGAAATGAAGTAGTGGTTTGGTTTGCCTAATTTGTATACCGCTACAATTCACGCGACTAGGCGGTGCGGTCACGTTTCGCGTAAGTCATTAACCGGAACGTTTCTTTTTTTTCGTGAATTTCTGTTCATACCACAAGCTCAGTAAGAAAATTACTTAACCAGTCTGTAGTACATGCTTAAATACAATTTTTAACTAATGAGTGAAAATAAGACTTTTGTTGCCATTTGAAAATCAACACCTATGTGACGGCCTATTCAGAGGAAATCATCGTTTCATGTTTACATAGCTAAACCAATTCATTAAAATACGGGTAGGGGTCAAGTAGTTTAATGTTACAACTGAAATGTGATAAGTATTATGTTTTCCAAGTAATGCCCAGAATTATTCAGACCTTAACATTTCATGACTTCCTGTAAGCTTGGCAGTCTTCTAAATTCTCAGGCTTCATAATGGTTCAGATAAGCATTGATATTTAAAGTTGGTAGTAGTACTTTTGTATTAGGCCTTTTATTTGGTAGACTTCAACTCCTTTTCAGGTACTTGTTTCGTTATGGTTAATTCATCACAAAACTTATACATGAAAAATTACACTTTTGATTGGTGGAAAACAGCTAGGCGCCTTTTACCTTAATCACTAGTGCAGAACTCAGGTACAAATGTAAATTAGTCTCAGCAACAATAGATCACACTAGAAACCAATCAGATTTATAGGAAGTAAGTTGTGCTGATTGAAACACCCTGTAGCTGACCAAAATAAACAAAAGCTTGCCGTGGATATTTTTATGTATATTGATAAACACTAACAATGCTGAGTAAGGTTTCAGCTGAAGAACAAATTTTGATAGCATGCCAAGTTGACCATTTACAGGATGATGTCAAGTTCACCTATTCATTTAATGTCTCTACATAGCTTGAATTTGGGAAACACACTGGCATGAAATTACAATTTCAACAATAAGAAAACTTGAAAAATTCTGGTGCTTTAAATCATATGATACTATTGTCCACTTACCTGTACATTGAACTCTGTTATGTTTAAGTTATGTCTCTGATTACTGTTCCTGAAATCCATTATGGTGACACTCTATCTCTAATAAACTTTCCGTTTAATAAAACCCTTCAGGTCAAATTGTAAATTTTGTTGGGTTAAAAAATTATCAGCAATGTTAATGTAATGTTACTTCAGAGCACTACTTAGCATGTAATTCATTAAAATATTGCTTGTGTTCTGATCTTGTTAGGCACCTATTTTTTTCCTAAATTCTTCCATTTTCGACCCAATATCCACCTACCTCAACTGAATTTTCTGTGTTCTATTTTGAAAATGTAGTCAAACCCAAATACAATAATTAGAATAAATGTTTTTACTCTCAACCAACTGAAAATAGAACTTTGTCCTAATGGTAAACCTACACTTGGCATTGTGTTACTTTACATGTATGTATTGTCCAAAATTAATCATACATTCAAACCAAATCAAGCTCCTAATGGCTTCTAATGTAGATTACATCATTTTCCTCATGTACTGGTACACAAAATGTCAAAAATATTAAAAATTAATTTCACATCACTTGCCTTGGAAAATATTAAAAATTAATTTCACATCACTTGCCTTGCAAAAGACAATTAACCTACCAACTTTAGAACTATGTGAACAAAGTCATGACTGAATCTATCAGGTCACTATGGGAGATGATGCTGAGGTTTTATTAAGTTCCTAAAATCCTCAGGTTACATATGAAACCTTTGTTGTCAAAATGAGACCTACATAACAAAGTTTATTCATTAACCCTCAACTTGAAAATGAACATTTCGGGACTATTGTATACTAGTTACCTTGTTTATTGATGAACAGGAAAAATATTGAAAACTGTCTAATAGTATTCAGATACAAGCTCTTCTAGAAGAAACTCAATAAGACACCAGACTCTAAAAAGCAGCTCAATTTCGTAAGCCACACATGTACGCATTGCAGACCTAT